ATACAGCAGTTAACATTTATTACTGTGTGAGGCACTGTACTAAGAATTTTATATGCAGTCTCATTTAATCCTCATATCAACCCTCTAAAGAAATGAAATGGATAGTGAGGTTCAGCGTTTGAGTGCTCTGCCTCAGGTCACAGTGGTGGGGGTAATAAAGTCTGAACCTAGAGTCCACTGATGACAGCTCTCTGCTTTACTGCACTTACACGTAAACTTTTGATAGATATCAATTACTTTCCATAAAGGTCTCCTCTCTCTCTCTCTCTCTCTCTCACACACACACACACACACACACACACACACACACACACACACACACACACAGAGCAAATGAAGCATCCCTTTTCTGCAATAGTTGCCAACACTGAATATTAACAATCTTTTAAATTTTTGTCAGTTAATTGGGAAAAAAGGGATAGTCTCTTGTTTTAATAGGGTTGGTTGAACATCTCTGAATTTATTCATTGGTCATTTGCATCTTTCTTCTGTGAACTATTTATTCATATCCTTTGCCCATTTTGAGTTAAGTATTTATCTTATTGATTTGCAGGCAGTCATTTATATTCTGGATATTATATTAATATCTGGAGTATAAGTAAAGAAAGAAATGGAGACAATTAGCTAATCTTTAAAAAAATTAAATCTGCTTCATACCTTATACCTGAGCAAATTCCAGATAGATCAAAAATAATGAAATCATAAAAGCATAATCCTTTCTTATGGCAATGTGTCAGTTTCTTGGTATTAATTTAATAAAATTATGGATTTATGTTGAGGAAAAAGTAATTTGAACAGGCTGAACAGGGCATTACAGCCTATACTAGAAAACTAGTATAAGAAGACTTTCAGTGACAAATCTATGTCACTGAAAGTAACTGAAAGCAACTATCTTCGAAAATTATGAACGTGGTAAATTTATTAAGTTTAAAAGTTTCAAAATAATACTTATGATTCCATTTTAATAAGAGGAAACACATTAAACATTAGGTACATCAGAAGGCTATACTGAAATATTAACAAAGGTCATTTCTAGGTAGCTGGAGTTTGTAAAAGAAAAATTCAATACTATTTTAAAAAATGCATTGCTTTTGAAGATATCCCTTCTAAACAGACACAAAGATGGTTAGACTTCTGAAAAGAAGGGTTTGTGACTCATTCATTTTTATGTCCTTTAAGCACACAGTGCCTGTTCAGAAGTCTCCCGAAAGACCTTTGTTGAATGAATGAAATGGGGAACACAGGATTTACAAACAAAATCTCCATATCAGCTACTTAAAATACTCAAATTCAAAACTCTGCAGGAGAATCATATTTGTTCCTCAAGTAATATTTCATTCACAACTTTAGTTTATAACTACAAAATGTTATGTTTTTAACAAACAAGAGAGAAATGTAAGACTCTTAATGTGTATGAGCTAAAAGCAGTGGGGTGAAGATGATGTGAAAAAGAAATCTTGGGAATTCCCTGGCGGTCCAGTGGTTAGGGCTCTGAGCTTCCACTGCAGGGGGCACAGGTTTGATCCCTGGTCAGGGAACTGAGATCCCACAAGCCCGTGTGGCCAAAAAAAAAAAAATTTTTTTTTAATATTTTATTTTTGAAAAGACTTACGACAAATACAAAAGTTTATGTTGAATTCTCTCAGACACAAAGACTATCCCTGATTTATGAAGTATGTTATTCATACTTACTGAGTATCTATTATGGGCATATGGGCAAGCTTCTATTTGTATAAAAAGGGCATGAATATTTACAAGGAACTTATAATATGACTTCACACACATAACTCTGTTCATGACATATCAATCCTATTGTAAACTGTACTAAATCATACTATAAAACTATAATAATTGAACTAATGCGTACAGGAAAGGAATGGGAAGAGATAAACAGACCGATGAAACAGAAATATTCCAAAAATAAACCCATGTCTTATGGAGACTTAGTATTTGACACCAAAGATAGCTTTCAAAACAGAGGGGAAAGGATGGCCTAACTACTTAGGAAACAGTAGTGGGCAACTAACTGGCTATCCAAATAGCAAAGGAAGTTAGATTTCTACCACATACCATCTGTGTAAATACATTTCAGATGGATTAAAGAGCTAAACATTACAAAGAGAAAAAAACATAGGCTATTTAATTAACCTGAAGATAAGGAAGGTCTTCTTAAACGAGACACAAAATTCAGAAGCCACGTGAATAATATTGATGAATTTGAAGTGATAATTTAAAATTTCTGTTCAACAAAAAACAGACAAGCAATACATTGAGAGAAAAGATGTGCAACGTACAATAGAGGCAAAGGATTGATACTACAAGAAAGAACACCTATAAAGCAGTAAGAAAAATAAACAATTCAATATCAACAAGCAATTCACAAAGAAAAAGAAATGGCCAAACAGAAGATTCCGTGACTTCTCTACTAACAACAACAACAACCATAATAGCTAATACATAATGCTTACTAGGCATCAGGAGCTTGGCTACGTGCTTTAGATATCAACTCATTTAATCCTCCCAACAACCCTAGGAGATAAGGTATTATTTTTATCCCTTTTTACAGTGGAGGAAATTGTGGCAGCAGTTAAAGAAGCTGCTCAGGGACACACAACCAGGAGTGCAGGGCTAGAATTTCAATGCAGACAGTATAGCTCTACAGGCCAGTATAGCACTGAACCACTATCCTATATGACCTCTCCAGGGATCTAGGCATCAGGAAAATACAAATTAAAACAAGATGTCATCTGTTGTTCAAACTGACAAAAACAAAAAAGGCCAACATAGTCAATGTGGCAAATGAGTATTATCAACATTGTTGGTAGAAGAATAAAACGGCGATTTCTTTTTGTAGTAAAAACTCTTCAGAAACAGATGCTGTGAAAGTTCAGAAAAACAATTTATGCAATAAAAGGTGGACAATAGTCAGGTAGTTTCTTACTAAAATGTTAATTTTATTTTCTCCTGAAGGTAGTAACAAATCCTAGAACTCCTTTCCTTTTCTCTCTTAATTCTCAGATGCCAATAAAGGCCACCAGAGGATGAGCATTCCTTTGCTCCCATGCTAACTGTTTTTTGGTGGCTGCTTCCCTTGTGATTTAATCAGCCCAGGTCAAATTTTCCCTGAAAACCTGTTTCTTGATGCACTAAACGACACAGATTCTGCTTTCTATTCTTTTCCATATTTGTCCATTAGCCTCTTTCTCAAGAGCCAAAGTGTCTCTTGAACAAAGTTCAAGAGACAAGACTGAAGGTGAGAAGCTCAAACTTTCCCTTTTTGGGGTGTTCAAAAGCCATTAAAAAGACTCTTACTTTCAGCAACAATGTTAACTCCAGACAAAAACATGGCTTGTGAAATCTCTCAATTCTCCATAGTCTCCAGTTTACTGTTTACAGCATAAACGTTAAGTAATAATATAAATTACTTAAGGGAAAAATAAAATCCATGTCATAGCTTTTTTAATACTTCAGCCATGCCTATCTACTTATAGGCACTATTATGAAGAGAAACACGGGAAGGTACATGGAGCTATAAAAGAGGCTGTTACTAAACATCACTGCATAAAAGTACTGAAAGTTCATCATGAATGGCAGTATGTAAAGGCCTTTTTTAAAGGCCTTCCCTTAAAAAAAAAAAAGCACAGCAGGTCGGCTTCCATTTGAAAAGTTTCATTTGTACATCCAAAACTTCCTGTAACTTTTTTGCTGTTGTGTTCTAAAACTTACTACCAACTTGGTTTCTGATTATGACAAAGCAATTAAAATTTGCAGGGGTGAAATGGACACTGTGGAAACACACTGGCAGCTCAGAGAATGGTGCTTGACGAAACCTCCAGGAGAGGAACCCTACATCGTCACTGAGAGACGAATAAGAGTGTTCCATACTGTAGCCATAGGATGTAAGAAGAGATTAAGGTCAGCAGGATATTGTAAGACTGGAATGACCGAGATTGCGTTTTTTGTAGCCATAGATGTAAGAAGAGATTAAGGTCAGCAGGATATTGTAAGACTGGAATGACCGAGATTGCGTTTTTTCGTCTGCATCATATGGTCACAGATTAACATTCCATTAAAACACAAAGCTTCACTACGGAAGGGGAGAACGTTGCACCCGCGGCACCACCACAGGCCTGGGGCAATGATTTCGATACCTGCTAAATGCTACCGTGTCCCCAACGTCATCAAATAATTGCTGGACAGCTCCACCATGTCTACGCGTTAACCACACAAAATCGAGGGAGCAGACACCTTTGCCAGGAGTCCCAGTGCAAAATCGTAACTCCTCAAGGCTTCGCACGCACAAATTTAGGGTTCTCATTTCGCTGGAAAGAAAACTGAGGAGCTGAGGGAGAAGCAGCGACCGTCCAGTGCCTCCAAGGGCCAAGACAGAGTTAAGATGAGGTCCACCTCGGACTTCTCACTCCCCACCTTCCTCCGCTCCAACCCTGGAAAGAGCCACAAGTGAGCAAGAGAAGTTGTGGAAACAAGACCGGGGTGGGGGTGGGGTAGGAGGGGAGAACCCGAGAGAGTTCAACACCAGCGCCTGCATTTGTCCCACACAAGGTCACTCGCTCCAAGTCACTTTTCCCTGCTGCCCTGGTGGGCTTCCCGCCAAAGAGGCAGCTAGGCTTCGAAGCCAGCCCACCGCGCCCCCTCGGCCCTCCCCTGCGGGCCGCAGCCCCTTCCCGGCCTCTCTTCTCGGACCCAAGCGCGCCTCCCGACACTTGTCTCCGATGCCCGGCCCCTCTCTCAGCCCAATTCCGCAGCTCCTCCGCCTCTACCCACGGGGCTCCCATCAACCTCCCCTCCCTCCCTCCGGACGCCCCTTTCCCCGCCTCCCGCGCCCGGTCCCGCCGGCGGCCTGGGACGGCGTTCCTTTTTTCCCTTCCCGCCGCCCTCTCCTCGGGTGCCCACCTGGCGCGGCCCGCCCCCGGCCGGTCTCCTCAGCGAGCGGCCGCCTCCCAAGTCCTCCCGGCCCAGCCCCGCTCCCGGGAGGATACAGTTTGAAGCCCCTCAGGATCTCCCTGGCCCGCTCGTCCTTGGTTGACATGATGCGGCGGCCGCCGCCTGCGGCTCTCCCACGCTGGCCCGGCGGAGCCTCGTATACTGTGCCCAGGAGCCGAGGACTGAGCCGCAGCCCGGCCTGCAGACCTCGGGCGAGCAGCGGCAGCGTCCAGACCCGGACCGGCCTCTTTCCCCTCAGCTCCCGCTCCTGATCCCTTCTCCTTCCCTCTAGCCTCGGAGCGCCCTCTCTGAAGCCAATGGAAAGCCCGCCTCGGCGATTGGCATCTTGCTCAACCAATAAAAACATTCAGCGGCTTCGCAGTGGGACGGAGAGCGTCAATGGGAAGGGCCCTCCCCAGGAAGTCCCGTAGGACAAAATTTTCATTTTGTGTTGTTGCCTAGAGTTTGACCCTGCGGAGGGTTGGCTTCAGATCTGCAGAGGCTCGCTTCGAGCCCGCTCCTGCCGCTGGGCACAGTAGGGCTCTGAGATAACGGCAGGTTGCCCTGTGCGATGTGGCGGAGACTACACTTCCCAGCATTCCAGGGGAGAGCCCGGGGGACCACAGATCCCAACACGCAACAGAAAGCCCAGGGACTACAAATCCCAGCATTCCCTGCACTCAATTCCTCTGTAACTTAGATTCCAGGGTGCCGCGCAGTGCGCGCAAGTTCATAAACCTGCTTGTAGGTTTTCGTGGTTTCTGAATCCCTAGACTTGAAACCAGGCGGGAAGATCCTCTTCAGCCTCAAAAGATGACAGCCCACAGAGAGGTAACTTCTATTTGCATGGAACTCAGAAATCTCCTGCAAATCATGGTAAGGACGAAACAACAAACACAAACACTGATTAAATTATGAAAGATAATATAACAAATGACTCCTTCAATTCGTACTTGTTCGTTGGCCTGGGGCGCCGTTTAGGTGTTTTGCAGGGGTTTCTGGTGTGCTCCTGCGTTGGACTGAGAGAGATATCGATTGTATACTCAGAATATCAGTACAGTCAGACTTAAGAGAATTTGCTAATCCAACCCCTGTTATTTTTATATATGAAGAAACTGAGGCCCACAGAGGCAAAGAGATTGTTGAGGGATCACAGCAAGTTGGGGCAGAGTTAGAATTCGGCTCTAAGTCTCCTGCAGTCTGGGCTTTTTCCACTACACTAGGGTGATGATATTTTTAGCAGCATGGCTATGCGATCTCACTCTCCTTGGTGAAGTCTTCCCATCAAGGTTGAAAACACCCAGAGGTGTTGTCTGCCATTTCAGTAAACAATGTTGCCTGCCATTCCAGTAAACAGCAACAAATTTTGGCCACCATCAAGCCATCAGCCACTGAAGCCACCCTTGAAGATGGGCCCAGAGGGGAATTCAGGATGGAGAAAAAGAGGATACTGCCCCAGATAATTAAGATGCGTATCTAAGGAATAATTTCAATGAGCTCAGACACTTGCATCTTCCCATACATAGAAAAGCACTAAAATCGTTTATTTGAGATGTCTGTTTTTTGTTGCTTAGCAGTAATCTTTTGATGTTCAATTACATATTTTCTTTTCAGCAAAAACTCCTTTGTATCCTGGTTCCTCTGTTACCTCTTCGGAGAAGTTCCTCAGAGCTATCTGAGAGGCTGTCTCCTGGGCTATAGTCCTCAGTAAGGTCCCCAAATAAAACATAACTCACAACTTTTAGGTTGTGTGTTTTTCTTCAGTCGACATTAGGTAAACATTTATTTGGTGGCTTTCCTGCAAGTGAAGGAGTGCAATATTTGTTTATTCTCAGTCTAGGTAAAACTTGGTATTTTGATTTGTTCTTTTTTACTCAAGGTGACATTTAATATGATTTCAGAAACTAGGTAAAATTGTAGCTTAAGGTTTCCTTGGAGATCTGCTAACTCTTTTCCTAGGCCTTCCTTCCTCTTCCTGTACCCCTTTCGCCTACCTGGGCACCCACCCAAGTTTTCCTTCCATGTAATTCAACAAACACCTTTTTCAGCTTTTGTTATTGCCAGACTCTCTGTTGGTAGAATGTGAAAGGCATGGTCACTGCCACAAGCAAGATAACCATCTAGTTAGGGAAATAAAGAGACTCCACTGAAATTCAAGATGAACTGTGATGAATGGCACAAAAGAAAGGACATTGGAATGCTACAGAGGCCCCCATGGAAAGATATATTTCAGCTGGCAAAACTTGATGGAGGAGGTGGCATGGGTAGGATTTTTTTCTGTGTTAAAAAGTTTTATCTGTAAATCTTTTTTGTTAATGAAGTGTAACACATACAGCAGGAGCACAGTTTTGGCATATGTATACACCTGTCACCAACCCCCAAATCCAGATATTGAACATTTCCAGCACCATTCCCAGGGTGCCCCTTCCCAGTTAGTGCTGCATCCTTCCATTCTGATAACCACTCTTCTGACTTCTATTACCATAGATCAATTTTGCTGTTCTTGAATTCCATTTAAATGTAATCATACAGTAAGTACAATATGAGTCTGGCCTTTTTCGTTCATCAGTATTTTTGTGAGATTCATCCATGTTGTATGTAGCAGTAGCTTTTTTTTTTTTAATTGCTAAGTAGTATTCCATTGTATGTATGTAGCACCATTTATCTTCTCTACTGTTCATGGGCATTTAGGTTTTCACTTACCAGTTTCTGGCTTTTATTAATGAAGCTGTAATGAACATTCTTGAATGTTTCTTTTTGTGGACTCATGCATTTATTTCTAGGAGAGGAGTTGCTGGCTTGTGCGGAGGGCATACAATCAGCAATAGTAGATATTGCCAGTTTTCCAAAATGTTTGTACCAATTTTCACCTTCACCAGCAACATAAGAGAGTTCTAGTTGACTCTTACCCTTGGCAATAGAGGGTGGTGTCAGTTTTTAAAATATTAGCCATTTTGGCTGAATGTGGTATCTCATTATAATTTTCATTTACATTGTCTTTGGTGTTGAGCCCTTGTCATATGCTTGTTGGCTACGTGATGTCCTCTTTTGTGATGTGCCTGTTCAGGTCTTTTGCCCACTTTCTTAATTGGGCTAATTCTTATTGATTTGTTGTCCTTTATATAGTCTGGATATGAAGTTCCTTGTCCGATACATGCTTTGTAGATATCTTTTCCAAGTCTGTGGCTTGCCTCTTTAGTCTTGTACCGGTGTCTTCTGAGAAGAGAAATTCTTAATTTTAATCAAGTGCCATAGTTCAATGCTTCCTTTTTATGATTAGTGCTTTTTGCATTGTTTAAATCTTTGCCTACATGGTTGGTGGAATTCGAACAGACAAATATGAGGGAAGAGCACTGTGAAAAGGAAGAGAGAGCAAGTTTGAGCATAGGCCCTGATGTCAGAGAGGGAAGATGTGAGTCCTGTTAGGCCGGGAAGGCGTGGAGTTTGGGCTCTAATGAGGTGGGGCGAGACAAAGCTGGATAGGTAAGAGGGAGGCATACTGAGGAGGGCCTTAACTGCAGCCTTGGAGTCTGGACATTATTCTGGAGGCCGTGGAGGCACAGCTGGAATATTTATGAACTTAAACAGAACTTAGTTGCTCTCCTTCCACCACTGACTTTGCTCCTTCTCCTCTGCAGCCCTGTCCTCTAACACCACCTCCAGACAGCTCTGGCCTCCCCAGACAGAATCCTGGGGGGTATCTTCTTTTTCTATCCCTGCATTCAACTGGTCACCAGGTCTGATAGGTTCTGAGGTATCTAAATGTCTCCAACAATGACGCTTCTATTTCATGCCCAGCTGCAGCTACCTTTGTTCAAGATCTCACAGTCTCTTAACTGGAATACATCAGTCACCTCAAGGTTTCCCAGCCTCCAGTTCTCTCCACATCCAGTACATTCCTATAGCAGCTAGTGTCCAAAATGGCAATTATTCAGACCCCTCCACAGCTTAAAGACCCCAAATAGCTCCCCAGTGCCCTTAAGGTAAAACAAACAAACAAACTCTAAAAGAGTTTGCTCTTTCTTCCAGGCTCAACTCAAGCCTCATTTCCTCCAGAAGCCTTCCTTAAATCACCTCTCTCCAGGACACAGCCAGGAGAGCCTTATCTGTACCCCTGGGGCTCCTTGTGGCATCATCTGTCCTAGCCAGATGGACCTGTCTCTTCCAGGAACCTTGAGCTCTCCCAGGTAGGAACTTTGCTGTATTTAGGTTTTTACTGAGTATAGGGCTGTGCATGTGGTTTCCAAGAACCTTGATGACCTGACTCCAGCTCTGTAGCCCTCATTTCTTACCTTTGAACCCTGGGTTCCAGTCACTGTGGGTTTCTTCTCTGCATTAGTGTATGCTGCACAGTGCAGGCCTCTGTGACTATGGTCACTGCCCTCTTTTCTTCCCCTTTTTGCCCATAAGATGCCCACTTTCTCTTCCCCAGCACATTCTCTTCTGTGCTTCCAAAGCGTTGTCATCTCTCTCTCATAGCACTTAACACATTGAAGCTTTTTGAGGGCAAGAACCTTGTCTTATCTTCATATAAACTTCTAGAACATAATACGTGCTAAAGAAATTTTTAAAATAAATGAATGCATTGGTGCTTGGCTCCTTTGCATCTGTCTAATTTCTGCACTTGAATGCATGAAAGGTAAATAGGGTTTTTTTCCTCATCTTCAAGACCTGAAAGTCTGTAGTGTATACTTTAAAGGAACCAGCCTAAGTGTTCAGTTACGTGGCATTCTTATCCATCTTCCAGGGGAGTTGGTAAGTACTAAATGCAAAGCCACGAATGTCATTTTGGTCACAGAACCATTGTTGGCTCAACCCATCTTCTGATTATTTTAAAATATTTTCTGAATAAAGATGAAGAGCATGGTCTTTGGCTTCAGATAGCCTGGGTTTCAAAGCAAACTTCTTTTTTTTTTTGTGGCTGAGTTGGGTCTTGGTTGCTGCGCGTGGATTTTCTCCAGCTGCGGCGAGCAGGGGCTGCTCTTCATTGTGGTGCGCGGGCTTCTCATTGCGGTGGCTTCTTTTATTGCGGAGCACCGGCTCTAGGTGTGTGGGCTTCAGTAGTTGTGGCACGTGGGCTCAGCAGTGGTGGCTGGCGGGCTCTAGAGTGCAGGCTCAGTAGTTGTGGCACGTGGGCTTAGTTGCTCTGCGGTATGTGGGATCTTTCTGGACCGGGGCTCGAACGCGTGTGCCCTGAATTGGCAGGCGGATTCTTAACCACCGCGCCGCCAGGGAAGCCCTCAAAGCAGACTTTGATACTTACCGGCTTTTGGATTTTTAAAATAATTAATTAATTAATTAATGGCTGTGTTGGGTCTTTGTTGCTGCACGAGGGCTTTCTCTAGTTGCGGTGAGCGGGGGCTATTCTTTGCGGTGCACGGGCTTCTCATTGTGGTGCCTTTTCTTGTTGTGGAGCACGGGCTCTCGGTGCACAGGCTTCAGTAGTTGTGGCATGCAGTCTCAGTAGTTGTGGCTCACGGGCTTAGTTACTCCATGATCTGTGGGACCTTTCGGGACCAGGGTTTGAACCTGTGTCCCCTGCATGGGCAGGTAGATTCTTAACCACTGTGCCACCAGGGAAGTCCCTGGCTTTTGGATTTTTAGGCTTAGTTATGTCCCCTGAAAAATGGGAATAATATTACAGGCCTAGAGTTATTATGAGAATTCAGTGAGACAATGTACAGCACCTGGCACATGGAAAAACGCTCAGTAAACGGTAGTTATTAGGCTTAGTATGTCTCTGTACCCCGAGGGTAGCCACAGTCGCCCTACGGAACTTCTGAGGGTAAAGCTCGGCCAAAGAGGATGGGTTTAGGGCCCAGGATGGTGATGGCGATGGTTGGGGGGCCAAGTACTGCCTAGGCTATATTCCTCTCCTCAGGGCCCCCACCCTGTCCTGGGCTACAGCCCGGCTCGGGACCCACTTTCCCCTGCCGGGGCCGCACTGGAGGTCTGAGGCTGCAAACGCGGTGGGGGAACCTAGTGTGGGCGGAACTCGAGTGCAGCGGCGGGAGGCTTCCGGGGGAGCCGCAAGGGCAACGGGTCGGCGGAGGCAGAAAAGCGTCGGACGCCGGGCCGATCATGGACGCTTGACAACCTGCGGGCAGGCGCCGGGAGGCCAAGCCAGCGACCGAGAGGACGGAGAGGCGGCGAGGACAGGTAGGGGCCGGCGAGAGGGTGGGGCCCGGCGTGCCAGGTTCTTCTGGGCCGTCAGGTTTAGCGCCAGCCGTAGGAAAAGCCCTCGGCCACACCGCCCCGCCCCCGCTCCGGGGAGCGCGACCCGCGGCTCATCACCCTGCACCCGCGGCTCTGCTTGGAACACGCCACCCGCCCTGAAGTCCACCCCAGTCCGCGACCCTCAGCATCCGCACCGCGGTTGCTCTCGCTTCCCCACCTGTAAAGGTTACTCCTTTGCTCCTCTGCCGTCCATCAAAATAGCGCCACCCCCTAGGACGGGAATTCATCTCCCCTGAGTTCCTAGCCGCCTCCTCGGGCTCTCCCACTCCAGAAGAAAGCGATTATCGGCGCCTCCTCATCTCTTTGCCCCCGCGGGTTTTGCTCCTTAGGCCGAGGTTTTTTTGAGGGACCGAAGTTCTGTCCGTTTTTCTACCCCTTCTCCATCTCCACGCCCTGTCATTCAGTGTCTTCGCACGTGTCCACTTGGAAGCGAGGTTTTTGTTTTTCCTCTCCTAACCATCACCTTCCCCCGACATCTCCTTTCTACCCTCTCCCCTCAGTTTCCCCTTCCCTCAGCAACCTTTATTCCCTAGCACTTCAATTTTGCTGTTTCCGACAAGATCTTCTTAGGTAACCCTGGATGAAGCGGCATACTTGCTTTTGTAGTACTGTGAAAGGGCTGCCGCTCTTGGTGCCTGCCTCCAAAGGAAAACTTAGTTTCTCTTGCACGAAGCTAACCTTTTTTGATTTATTGTCTTTTTCACTGTACTATACTTCTTCATTTTGTCACACTGCCCAGCATATATCATTTTTGGAGGAGTAATCTTTTCTCATGGAGAACTCCTGTAGAATAGATACTCAGTGTGTGTGTTCACACACCCAGCTTGTAGTAAGTAGATTATACAGTTGAGGGACCCTCCTGTCCTAATGTCTTAAGGATGGCAATACTATATCTTCATTGTTTTCTCGAATCTTTTTATTGTTTTCTTGAGATTTTGTACAAATTCTGAAGTCGTGTTTGGTAAAATGTCACATATCAGTAGGAGGCCAAATAAAGGGATTTTCCTCATGGACTTACACAGCATGTATGTGTGTATTTTCTTAGTTTGAATATGTTGCTGCTTATCTTTCAAGATGATTTCCCCCTTTTTCTATCAGATCAATGACTTATGTGATAAATGGGCCATCTTTCTTGTCTGCTTTTTGTCTTTCCTTATCTGTATCTGGCTGCAGGTGGGATTCTAATGACACACCGAAGCTGTAACTGATTGCTTTTGCTTACATCTGCTGCCTCTGTGTTTTGGCAAGATTCTCTGCTTCTTAACCAGAGTCTAAAAATGAGGTAGATATAAGACACCTACTGAGATACTCCTGTGTGTTTCTTTAGGTCCTGGTTAGGTTTAAGGGCTTAGAAGGTGCTGCCTTTGGCAAAGGGCCAGATGGAATGAAGTGGCTTTTACTAAATGTGTTTCAAACCTCAGAATAAGGACAAAATCCCTTTAACTCCCAGTTAAACGCTACCCATCTCACAAAGTGAGATCTGGACTGAGGAGCTGTTTTTTTCTTTTTGAATACTGTAAAATGAAAGTATTCTGATGTCTGATCCAGCATTAAATAGGCATAGACTTTGCAAAGGAGAAGGAAGAATGAAATACTTTTCTTTGGACAGATCTCAAGACCAGAGAATGGCAGGTGAACAGAAACCCTCAAGTAACCTCCTGGAACAGTTTATCTTACTAGCCAAAGGTACCAGTGGCTCAGCCCTCACTGCTCTCATAAGCCAAGTTTTGGAGGCTCCTGGAGTATATGTCTTCGGAGAACTGCTGGAGCTGGCCAATGTGCAGGAGGTAAGAGCAGCTTATAAACAATTTTTCTATCTTCTTTGTTCTCAACCTTCCTGTGATTCTCCAGGTTTCCAAGGAATTTCAGTGCTGAAGCATTGTGGACCCATGAGATATCCTTTTGAGGAATTGGTGAGGCAGTGGAAGAGAGCAAGGATAATGTCCTGGGCTCCTTCTGGTCAATATTTTCATCTGAATTTGGGGCAAATTTAGATTGGGTTGCTAGTAATTTGAAAGATAGGGGAAAAATCCAACTGAACCTGATAAATTAGAAAAGTAGAGTATAAGCATGGACTGATGTTTAACAGGGGTAGTTTCAGTCATTCTTAGGGACAGAAAACCTCCAGTGCAAATATAGACATTGAAAATTGGTCAGGTACATACATAGCAGAAAATGTTTGTTACTGAACATGAGATGGGCATGAATAAAGAATATATTGTTGGGCTTCCCTGGAGGCGCAGTGAGTGGTTAAGAATCCGCCTGCCAGTGCAGGGGACATGGGTTCGAGCCCTGGTCGAGGAAGATCCCACATGTCACAGAGCAACTAAGCCTGTGCGCCACAACTACTGAGCCTGTGCTCTAGAGCCCACGAGCCACAACTACTGAGCCCGCGTGCCACAATTACTGAAGCTGGCATGCCTAGAGTCCGTGCTCTGCAACAAGAGAAGCCAACCTCAACGCGAAGCCTGTGAGCTGCAATGAAGAGTAGCCCCCGCTCGCCACAACTAGAGAAAGCCTGCGCACAGCAACGAAGACCAAAGCACCCCAAAATAAAAATAAATAAAATAAATAAATTTATTAAAAAAAAAGAATATATTGTTCCTGTGAAAAGGGCAGTGTTGTGCTGAAGAAGGTGTGTAAAAAAGATATGACAGGGCTTCCCTGGTGGCGCAGTGGTTGAGAATCTGCCTGCCAATGCAGGGAACATGGGTTCGAGCCCTGGTCTGGGAAGATCCCACATGCTGCGGAGCAACTAGGCCCGTGAGCCGCAACTACTGAGCCTGCATGTCTGGAGCCTGTGCTCTGCAACAAGAGAGGCAGCGATAGTGAGAGGCCCACGCACTGCGATGAAGAGTGGCTCCCGCTTGCCACAACTAGAGAAAGCCCTCGCACAGAAATGAAGACCCAACACAGCCAAAAAAAAAAAAGAAGATATGACATGAAAAGCTGGGAAGTAGTCCTTTTTGCTTTGTTTGCTTGTTTGATGTTGTTATTGAAACCTTGGGTATCACTTTTGGTTGTTGTGCCTTAAAAATGAGAAGATCTGGTGAAGAGTAACCAGGTGGAACAGACATTAAAGCAACCTATACTTTTCCAACCTCTGCTTCCCATTTTGGATATTTTTATATTTATTGATTGATACTTTTATATTGATTGATCGAAAAGTCTGGTGATATCTTTTTTACTTTGGGAGATGTGCTCAGGAGCTCTTGGTAGGGTGGGTTGGCTTCCTCTTCACCATCACAGCTTCTTCCTGGCTGCCCAGGGTGGTGCCTGCTCTGCTGACAGCCACCATGTGCAGATCTGGGCAGTACTTGTTCTTGAGGATCATGTGCATGATGCTACTGAGCGTCGCCCAGGCATTCTTGTTGATGGTGGTCCATACATATGGGGTGGCTGACGTTTGCTGGCCAGTTCTTCTCTTCATGACACTAGGACACCTTTGCCATTGGCTGCCGGCTCCATGCCTGTAGCCCTGCTGTGAATCAGCCCGTTGTAGCAGAAGGAGTATGGGTCTTCACGTTACTGGACTTGCTGCTGTACATATGCTTATTCCTCTTGGTTAGTAAACTTGAGCGGTTCCCCATGATCATCCATTGCAGATGTGTGGATGTGGCATCAATTTCCTCTCCCTGCAACAGCTGGAAACAGGAAGACCTAGTTTTATTTGTTTATTTATTTTTGCGGTACGCGGGCCTCTCACTGTTATGGCCTTTCCCGTTGCGGAGCACAGGCTCCGGAAGTGCAGGCTCAGCGACCATGGCTCACAGGCCCAGCCGCTCCGCGGCATGTGGGATCTTCCTGGACTGGGGCACGAACCCGTGTCCCCTGCATCGGCAGGCGGACTCTCAACCACTGCACCACCAGGGAAGCCCCTAGTTTTATTTTTTAATTGTAAATTTTTATTTAATGTCAGCCTGGCTTGCTAGACTGTAAGCTCTGTGAGGGTAAGGTCTATTGTGCTCACCATTGTTTTCCTTAGAGCTTATTATGTAGCCTGACACACAGTAGGCTTTCAGTAAAAATTAAATTACCAGAGATAGAAAAGGAATCCTGTGAGGGAAATTTAAGAAAACTGAGTTTTTTTTTTTTGTTTGTTTGTTTTTTTGCGGTACGCGGGCCTCTCACTGTTGTGGCCTCTCCCGTTGCGGAGCACAGGCTCCGGAAGTGCAGGCTCAGCGGCATGGCTCACGGGCCCAGCCGCTCCGCGGCATGTGGGATCTTCCTGGACCAGGGCACGAACCAGTGTCCCCTGCGTCGGCAGGCGGACTCTCAATCACTGCGCCACCAGGGAAGCCCCTGAGTTTTTTTTTTTAATAGGCTTTATTTCTTTAGAGCAGTTTTAGATTCACAGCAAAGTTGAGAGGAAGGTACAGAGAGTTCTAATATACCTTGTGCTCTCATACATGAATAGCCTGCCCCATTACCAATATCCGCCACCAGTGTGGAACTACACTGGCACATCATTATCACCCAAAGACCACAGTTTACGTTAGGGATCACACTTGGTGTTTTATAGTCTATGGGTTTAGACAAATGTATAATGACATGTCCCATTACAGTATCATACAGAGTATTTCACTGCCCTAAAAGTCCTCTGTTCTGCCTCTTCATCCCTTCCTCCCCTCTAATCCCTGGCAACCACTGATCTTTTTACTTTTTCCAGAATGTCGTGTAGTTGGAATCATACATATGGAGCCTTTTCAGATTGGCTTCTTTCACTTAGGAATATTGCATTTAAATTTCCTCCCTGCCTTTTCATGGCTTGGTAGCTCATTGTTTTTCAAAAGAAGAGATGACCAAAGGGTAGTGTGTTTCTTCAGGTTAGTGAAAAGCCTGAATGAATATGCCAGGTGGTTGTTTCATATGGAAGTTTGGGTGAGAGGAGATGGATGAAAATTAAAGCCAGAAAGACTTTGTTGACTTAGGCCAGTGGGAGAAATTTTGGAGTGTCTGCTTTACAGAAAATAGTCTTTTATGGCTAGTTTTGTAATCGTCTGTCTGAAAAGTGGGGGCTAGATTTGATGGTCTCTTCTACTTCTGATTCAGGGCCTCAGGAGATTCTCGGTAACCTGAGGCAGTAGGCTGGGGTATTCAGATGCCAGAGTTCTCATTGGAGTGCTTAGCAAATCACCCTTATCTTCCCATAGTTTTTTTCCATATGTGAGCTGGGAATAAGCTAGCTGCCTTTCAGTGGTCAGAAATTACAGACGTAGTTTTTGGAAGCTTTTTTTAAAAGATGGTTAAAATCAAGTGGTATTGTTGGTGTCCACAGAATACCACTTGGTTCCTGTTTAGACTTTATTGAGTTTGGTATATTGGAAGAGTAACAGGTACATATTTGTGAGTAAGGGAAACACCCAGTTACGGTAACTGGCAGCAGAGCAGAGTAGAGCAGTTCCTCGCAGAACAGTATCTCTTTAGTTTTTCTTCTACAGATAGCTCTTTGCCATTAGCATTAGCGAGGAATAAGTAATTTTAATGAAAATTTTGATTTGGGGCTGATATCCTGGTTTCCTGTCCCAGCTGGGCTGTTCTGTCACGCCTTATGCTGTGCTGATCTCCAGCATTCACAGTCCACATGTAGTCCTGAAGCTTGGAGCCAACCCTATACTTTTTTCAGTTTGGATTGATAGTGGCTTGTGCTGTCCCCGCCAAGCTGGTATACTGACAAGGCTGCTCCAGTCTGCTTTTTTTTTAAACTTATTTATTTGATTTATTTTTGGCTGTGTTGGGTCTTCGCTGCTGTGCACGGGCTTTCCCTAGTTGTGGAGAGCGGGGGCTACTCTTCGTTGCAGTGTGTGGGCTTCTCATCGCAGTGGTTTCTCTTGTTGTGGAGCACAGGCTCTAGGCGCGCGGGCTCAGTAGTTGTTGTGCATGGGTTCTAGAGCGCAGGCTCAGTAGTTGTGGCGCACGGGCTTAGTGCTCTGCCGCATGTGGGATCTTCCCGGACCAGGAGTTGAACCCGTGTCCCCTGCATTGGCAGGCGGATTCTTAACCACTGTGCCACCAGGGAAGTCCCTCCAGTCTGTTTTGATGGCAGGGGAATCCTGAGCAAACCTGAACTGCTCCCAGTGCTTACTGCTTTGTGTGTGTGTGCGTCTGTGTGACAAAAGTAGCTCCTGGGCATGCTCTGTGCAGTATAAAGCATGTATTCCTGAGAGAGAAAAATTAAACTTGGGGCCTTATTTATTTTTTCCCAAAGACTCAAAGAGTTGGAAGGGACCTCAGGGACCAAGCAATAAAATGGTACAGAACTGTGGCACGTGATCACCTGCCCTCTTCTTGAACACTGCAGTGATTGGTAGCTCGGTCTGTGAACTACTTTTTTTTTTTTCCTCCTCAGCTTGCAGAAGGAGGTAATGCTGCTTATTTGCAGTTGCTGAATCTGTTTGCCTATGGAACATACCCAGATTACATAGGTGAGTTGGTTAAGATCCTCCAAAGACTTTTCTTAATTATGTTGCTCTGTCTGGATACATTGCCTTCATGAGGGTCACTGAAGTCTGGGATATACAACATGGGGTGGTATCTTCCTAACCTAGCTGTTTCTCATTTTACTGTGCTCTGTAAGTGATCTCCCATGAGGACTTTCGTTCCTACCTTTTATTTCGCAGTGGGTAGATGGGAACTGTGTTTATGCTCATCCATAAATATAGCCCTTGTTTATTTTCCAGATGAGATTCTTGAGGACTGGTGTTTGTAGAACACTTGGAGTGTTGTGAAATGTCAGAATACTCTGTAAAGTATTTAAGCGTTGTAAATATTATATAAATACTATCATCATATTGAAGAAAGTATGGAAAACAGGGAAAAATGTCGCTTGTACTCCCATTAAACTACTGTTAGCATTAGGGTGCTGGACTTTTCTTCCTTGTGCTTATGTTTTCTGATATGTAGGTGTAATTAGATTATGTATACCATTTTATATCTTGCTTTATTCGCTTATTTCATAGGCATTTATCCACGTTTTAAGTCTTTGTAGTCATTTTTAATATACCATAATCAAATACTCCATAATCTACTTACCCCATTCTCTTTTGTAGATCATTTGAGTCATTGTATTGATAAATTAGAATCTTAAATATCAGGAATGAGGTGCATGAATGTCCAAACACTAACTTACCTTCCACCCAAGCCATTTTTGTCTGGCTTCCCTAGTTTATTTTAGTGATATGACATAGGCCTGGCAGTTTATTTTAGTGGTATGACTCAGGGTCTTCTCTACTATGTCCTCGACTTCCCCTTTTTTCTCATTTTCTTTCTCCATGGTCACTTCTACTTACTCGGTGCTGCTGCCAGACTGGACAGTTTGCCACTTGCCAGCTTTTTCTGACCTTCACTTTGTTCCAGTGTGTGTATCCTTTGTTTCCATCCTCACTAAAGAGCAGCATTTTACAGACTCTAGAACCAGGATTCTTGCATTATGTTCTGTGTCCACTTCAACAGTTGTGTGTTCTTTGGTAAATTAGATGGTCTTCTGTACCTCAGTCTCCTTATCTGTAAAATGGGAGTAATAAAAAGGTCCACAATCCCTTATCTTCACTTCTTGGGCTAGATGTTTCATAATTTAGAATTTTGGGGACTTTAAAAAGGTAGTATGATGCATATACTTTTTTATGTAACACCCTCGAGAGATGTGGGCAGCACCGGTAGTCAAACACATTCACAGTTTTGCAGCAAAACAAATGAATATTCACAACAAGTGGGATAAAAAGCCTAACTCAATTTAGGTCATGAATTGCCACCAAATGAATTTCAGCACCGTGCTCAAGGGAGAAAAAGCAGTGTGGATTCACCTTTTTGGAATCCAGCATTATGGATAAGGAATTGAAGACATTTGGATCTGTCTTGTGGGGCTGTTGTGAGGACTAACTGGATGTGTGTGTATATGAATGGATCTGTGTGTGCACTTACACTAAGTAAAGCTTGCCATATACGTTGCCTTGGCTGGTGCCATTGCTGTTGCTATTATTGTTATTGCTAAAATTTTGCCTGTCCTTCAAGGATCATCTCATAGTCCACCTTTCTTTCTTTTTGTCTCCTGTACCTCCCCAGTTCCCCAGTGTGACTGTACTCACTTGCACTCTCTCTTTTTTCTCTCCTCCTCTTTCTGTTTCCCTTTCTGCCTCTCCACCCTCCCCTCACCCTCCTGTTTTTTTCTGGTAGTTTGTACCTTTCTTCTGGTAGTTCTCTTGCATTTGTAGCTGTTGAAACATTGGATGGTAAGACTGAGGACAAGTCCAGGGCCATTGAGTTGCACAACTCTGGGTGGTAGTTGGTGCTCCTGGAGTTGTGGAGTGTAGCAGCCCTGACAAGCCCCATCTGTTCCCCTTGAATCACTTAAGACAGTGCATTGCACATAACAGACGCTCAGTGAAGACATGTTGAAAATAGTACTCCAGTAAGAGAATTGTCATACCGTTTTGTGCACTCATGCCCGGCTTCTTAGGAGACTAAGCTTCTTGTGTGTAGAGATTCAGTTTTGTCTTCTTTGGAAGCACATGGTATTTCAGAGAAGATGGGAGGTGCTTATGGAACATTTGCCTAGTGAATAAGTGCAGAGTCATGACAGTGATTCAATAGCAGGTTTGATGTGGGGAGTTGGTACGCTTATTCCATGAAGAAATCCTGATTTTATTTTGTGTCTTGATTTTTGTGGTGGGTGGGACTGAGCAGCCAACAAGGAGAGCCTGCCAGAACTGAGCACAGCTCAGCAGAACAAGCTGAAACACCTTACCATCGTGAGCTTGGCGTCAAGGATGAAGGTACGGTCCAAACCCTTTCCTGTCTTCCTCCTTACCTCGAGGCAGGTGTCGCATTGGCATCATGTGGGAACTCCCAGCTACACACAGTAGAGTTGTATCATAAATGCATAAAATTTGCCTGGCAAAGGACAAAAGAGAAAAAGATAACAGTTAAAATAGTGTAGATAATTACTCACCATTCCATTTAGGAAAAGTATGCCCAGGAGTGATTGTGAATCAGCAGGTCTCAGTTCTGGCATGCCGTGGTACCCCACGTGCTGTGAGCATTTTGCCATGCTTAAAGGAGACTGCTGTTTCAAGATACAGATTTTTCAAACAGCAAGGCATCTCAAGGCAAGTTAACTGCTTCAGCTGTTGCTCAGTGCACAGTGAACTGTTCCCGTGCTGGAGGAAAAACTTGCTGTGTTGAACTTACTGAGAGATGGATTTTTTAATATGCTGCCTTCCTCTGGGGATTTTCAAGGTTAATTATACTAATTGGAATTTTTGCCTTCTATGCTAACTTCTGACCCTAACCTTCTGTAAGATACCACTCCACTATATCTCTGAGTTCTTCCTTTTAGAAGAAGATGTGCAACCAACTGCTCATAGCCATTAACAAAGAAGATCCAGGTTTGATTAATTATAGTTGATTTTTGGCTCTCTGCCCAATCCCAGCCTAAATGTCTATAAGTTTTTGTGGGGCTGTGCCTTTGAAAAAGTTTGCTTTTTGCATTTCCCCTCTGTGATTGAGCTGGAGAGATGTATATTTGTTCTTGGATTGCTGTTTCACATGCTAAAATTATTTTATCTGGCTTAATCACAAATTTATGATTCTCAGCTGGGCACTTCAGGTGGGAGGCCTATTTTGTTAGGAAATGAGGACCTGAATTTTTTTTTTGTCCTGATCATGAACTTCTCAAGTGTAGCAAAGAGTAGGAGCGACTTTTTCCCTTGTTTCTGCAACCTGTCATTCTTTTTTTTTTTTAACATCTTTATTGGAGTATAATTGCTTTACAATGGTGTGTTAGTTTCTGCTGTACAACAAAGTGAATCAGCTATACATATACTTATATCCCCATATCTCCTCCCTCTTGCGTCTCCCTCCCACCCTCCGTATCCCATGCCTCTAGCACCGAGCTGATCTTGTTATGCAGCTGCTTCCCACTAGCTGTCTGTTTTACATTTGGTAGTGTGTATATGTCCATGCCACTTTCTCACTTCGTCCCAGCTTACCCTTCCCCCTCCCCGTTTCCTCAAGTCCATTCTCTACCTGTGCATCTTTATTCCTGTCCTGCCCCTAGGTTCTTCAGAACCATTTTTTTTTTAGATTCCATACATATGTGTTAGCATATGGTATTTGTTTTTCTCTTTCTTACTTACTTCACTCTGTATGACAGTCTCTAGGTCCATCCACCTCACTACAAATAACTCAATTTCATTTCTTTTTTATGGCTGAATAATATTCCATTGTATATATGTGCCACACTTTCTTTATCCACTCGTCTGTCAATGGACACTTAGGGTGCTTCCATGTCCTGGCTATTGTAAATAGAGCTGCAGTGAACATTGTGGTACATGACTCTTTTTGAATTATGGTTTTCTCAGGGTATATGCCCAGTAGTGGGATTGCTGGGTTGTGTGGTAGTTCTATTTTTAGTTTTTTAAGGAACCTCCATACTGTTCTCCACAGTGGCTGTATCAATTTACATTCCCACCAACAGTGCAAGAGGGTTCCATTTTCTCCACACCCTCTCCAGCATTTATTGTTTGTAGATTCTTTGATGATGGCCATTCTGACCGGTGTGAGATGATACCTCATTGTAGTCTTGATTTGCATTTCTCTAATGATTAATGATGTTGAGCATCCTTTCATGTGTTTGTTGGCAATCTGTGTATCTTCTTTGGAGAAATGTCTATTTAGGTCTTCTGCCCATTTTTGGATTGGGTTGTTTGGTTTTTTGTTATTGAGCTGCATGAGCTGCTTGTATATTTTGGAGATTAATCCTTTGTCCAACCTGTCATTCTAAGCCCCTGTACCAACCCTGGATTTCAGACCTTTAGTCATAGAAAACCCCCCAGGTATGTTTGCCCTCTTCTCCTCATACATCTTCCTCCTGTTTCTGCAGATTTGATTGCTGTGTTAATTTTCACACTAATAGTGATGTGTCATAGGATTTACAGAAAACTGGTATTTAGATACCCAGGTGTCTTGGAGTCATGCAGAATGTTGGTACAGTCCATTACAGGACTACTGTTGGGGAATTGACATTGGTTGTCAGAGACCAGGAAAACATGTAAACTTCAGGATGACCTCTGAGCTTGCAGTATCCACTGGCCACCTGTAGGTGGATGCGTTAGCCTGTAAGTTTTTTTAATTGTGCTCTGCTGGGCAAGCAGCCAGTTTGTGTGTCCAGTGTCTGAGATTCTTTGGAGTTTTTTTTGATGATCTGGCGTTTTATACAAATTCTGAAAGCTTCCAAAAGGCAGCAGAGTGCCAGATACTGAGGATATCCCTTTCTTCTCTAGAAAGAGTCTTTGGGATCTCTAAGAGTATGCTTCAGAGCATGAAAGCTGGAAGCTGAGCGAAGTCCAGGAGGCAGAGGATGGGGGAGAACGCATTGCTAGATGCTGTGGGTCTTGTTTGGATCCCACAGGTCTCACAGCTCATTTATCCATCTCTTTTTGCCGTAGATGTTAATAATTACCACTAGACTGCATTTCCCAAAGCTCTGAGGCATATGTTGGCTATCTGAGTAATAACCTGAATTTTCTTAATGTTTACCAATGGTTTTTGTAAACATCACATGTACCTTATCTATAGTGTATCCCCTACTCCGTGCTGCTGAAGGACCTGGAGATGCGGAATCTCCGGGAACTGGAAGACCTCATCATCGAGGCTGTCTACACTGATATCATCCAGGGCAAGCTGGATCAGCGAAACCAGCTGCTGGAAGTGGATTTCTGCATTGGCCGTGACATCCGAAAGAAAGATATCAATAATATTGTCAAGACCTTGCATGAATGGTGAGGCTCAAAGAAGGAGGTGCCCCCCTCTTTAGGGAGGGGATACCTAGCATGCCCTCTATGCCTCTGTTTGGGGAAATGTGGTCTCCAGGTATCAGCTGGGGCTGCCTGGGAGCTGGGGCCTTGGGACAGAAAGCTAGGGAATGGGGCTGCATTTGTGACTTCAGTTGTGTGGCAATAGGAATCACTTCAGGCTTCCTAGTGCCACGGTTGTAAAATAGTTCTTGTCTTATGCAGTTGAGGGCTATTTAGTAGCAGGCTGTAAAATGCCCAGAGTTGGCAGGTGGAGCCTCTGAAGCCTTGCTGTGTGACACTGATCCTGTGCTTTGCAAACTCACCCTCAGTGTTTGACCAAGCTTGGGAATTAGTGTTGGTAAGATTCTTTGGATAAGAGAACCAAGTTCGGCATCAGTAACTTTGGGCTAGTGTTTGTAAAACATTGTGAAGGATATTAAAGACAAGGAATGGGTTATTCTAAGTTGGAACACAGACTCATATACAGAGTATTTGATAACCATATTCTGGTATATAAAAGGAAGTGGAACATTTGCACGTACTCTATTTTAATGGAATTTGATGTTCGCAAGAGCTGTTGCACGTTCTACACGGATTTGTCATGGTGTTATTCAAGACTGAGCTGTGAAGGAGGGCCAGGGTGAGAGTATAATTGGAGGTGAGGAGAGTGTGTTCCCAGGTGGCACATGGCACGTTGGAGGCCATGAAGCAGAGTAGGCAGACTGTGCAGAGGGCTGGGGTTCATTTTGTCTTTAAACAGACTGACTCTCTGGCTTAGCCTCTAGGGGTGTGTATCCAGGGATGTACAGCCCAACTTTGACCCTCTGGGGGTCCACAGCCCCCTAAGTTTCCCTCACTTCAGCTACTATTGGATCCCCAGGCATGTACTTGCCCACCCTTTACCCCAGGTTCTGTCCCAAGTGTGACTCCAGACACCTTCCCTTTACAACATCTGACACAAGCAGGAACTTTCAAAAGATTTTAAAACAGTGAAGTCAGACTAAATGGGAAATAAACTTAGAAAACACCCCTAACATGAAAATGGTCTGGCATACAAAATCTAGGTTTCCAATCCCACTAAAGTTGGCTGTCTTTTTCCGTTTTTGAGATGACTGATACCGTTTTTCACCTCCATAGTCTGACTTCAACGTGTTTGCACCCAGAGGGCCTATTCTAGCCCCCATTCCAGGATGTTTACTAGTACAAATTCTTACAACTTCTTTTTATGCATTGGAGTTAGATTTGAAACAAAATTGGTATGTAGAGTGGCACCACAAATACGCAGAATGTTCCCACCTGTTGACTCTAAAGTGGAGGGTATGTGGCTATTTATTGTACTATACCTTCAACTTTTTTTTTAACATATTAAAATTTTAAAAATAAAAAGTGGGGAAAATGATATAATGAGGAGGGGGTGGCAGTTGGGAAGTAACACACTTCTGAGAAAAAGGGCAATCTTCAAAATAGGATGCTTTTAGAAAATAAATTTTTCTTTTGAGAAAACTGATTAATCAGTGCCACCTGTGAAGTCTCTCCTAATTCCTTTAATTGCACAGCCTGTGAAGCTTTCCCATGGGATACAGAGGTTGGAAATTAAAGCTGTATTCTAAGAAACCACCCCACATCCTCCATGTTTGTTTCCTTATGCCCTATGTTATGTATTCAGAAACACCTGTCTTTTGGAAGGAGTGAAGGGGCAAGAGCCCTGGCAGACGGAGTGTTACAGGAAGTCTCTAAGGAATCGGCGAGGGAGATTTGGGAGGCTGCAGGACAACTACCAGGCTTTTCTGGGGCTCAGGGCTGGTTATCTCTTATATAGGTGCGATGGCTGCGAGGCAGTCCTGCTGGGCATCGAGCAGCAAGTTCTGAGAGCCAACCAGTACAAGGAGAACCACAGCCGAACTCAGCAGCAGGTAGAGGCCGAGGTGAGGAAGAGAACGCCTGTCCCCACCCCAGGGTATCCCTGTTTGTCCCTTGTCTTGTGATCTTGGCGTAGATGCAACAGCACTCACTCGCTCGTGAGCACTGGGTGAGGTGCTGGGGTAGAGGCGAGTGTGACCCACGCCCTCCTCTTGGTGCTGTCCATCTCGTTTCTGATTCCTGGTCACCAGAGTGTGAGCGGGCTCAGAGAGCGGAATGTTGTAATTCCTCAGTTTACACGCACTTTCCAGCTGTAGAGCAAAAGAAACGAGTTTGAGGATGGGTCTTAAAGATGGATGGAAGGATGGTGGTTACCAGGCGGGGCAGAGGGCGGGGTGCAGCTGGGCTGGGGCACATGGGGCTTCAGGGCCCCGGTGCTGCTCTGCCTCTTAAGTTGTGTGGTGGGTGCACAGTGTTCATTGTATTCTTCTCTAATCTGTATGTGTATGTTGTAACCTTTTAAAATGCATGATATGTTTCATCTTGAAAAAGGAAAAAAGGGAAAAAATTCGGTGGGTGAAATGCAAGTGAAGATAAAAGTGTGATTGTGGTGTTAGACGCCTGGTTTGTTCAGGACATTTTTAGCCTCTGGGAGAGACGCAGGCTCCAGCCCTTGAGTTAATGGGCGTTTGTCTGCCTATAGCCTGGACAGCTGTGGAGCCATCTCCCAATTTGTTTGGAGCCCTGAAGATCAGAATTTTAGCACTGAAAGTCCTTTTCTAGCATGATGGAGCTTGAAGCATTAATGGTATTTAATGAATTTTAGAAGTAAGGTATCCTAGAATGTAGCAGAATGGGACCCAGAGTTACAACTAAGGAACATAAGAAATAAGTAGTTGTGCCTTTCTAAGGGGGATTTGTAGAATTTGAAGATTTCCTCTGCTCTGTCGTATGTACTCCTTGAAAATAAAACCTGGTCTTTGTAAGCTCAGCTCCTTGTCCCATGCCTAATGAGCACATAATAGGTGCTCAAATGAGTGTTTATATTTCAGGCACACCCTATAAGTGTCAGTGGACTGCTGAACTCTGCTTTCATGAACTAGAGTACATTTATTTCAGATACACACATCCCTGTATATATATGCATACCTACTCTGAACGTTCCATCCACTGTAAATTTTTAACTCTACTTCTAGCCAAGGAAGTGTGAACTATATTTAATTTAGCATTAGTCAAAGACAGATGCAAAAAAAAAAAAAAAAAAGACAGATGCAATTAGGAAAGTAAGCCTGCAGCTTCTCTAATAAGCTCTGTGATCCTCCTCTTGAATATTTTGGTCTCTTCTCTGACCTGGGATTGATGTCTGAGCAAAGTAGGACAATATTCACTGATTCTTTCCTGTACATCAAACCCTGGAAACAGTAGATTTGGAGACGAAACGCCCACCTGACGTGGGATAGCCTGAAACACTCTTAAACCTGGTTGGTGGCGCAGGAGGAGGAGTCTGATCGCTACTGGCTGCCCCACTCTGCTTGGACTGTTGCTAATTGTGTGGCAGGTGGTGGGCTTGACTGTGGTCGTTTGCAAAACTGAATGATACTAGTTTTAGAATTTTGAATGGCTCAAGTTTATTTCCAGGAAAAATGGCATCTGATGAAAGAAGGCACTGCCTAATGTTGAGGCACGACCAATACGTAGACAACAATGTGGGCTCCTTAGATTATGGTTATTAAATGAGAGCCAGCACACATGGATTTGCTCTCAGCGGCCCACTGCTGGAAAACACAGCTGGCAGAGCCTGATGCTGCCACCAGGTGGCAGTAAGGATTTGATTAAGTTTGAGAGAAAGAAATTTGAGGAAACCGCCAAGGTCACCTCCGCTAGCAATTAAAACAGTTTACTAATTTAATAATCTTCTAGGAAATCTAGAACAGACAAGTATGAGAAGAGTGGGAGCATGGTCAAAGCCCAGAGCCTTGACAGCTTTTCCATTCACAAATGCATGATCTGGCTACTATATGTAGGATGCTGACCGTCCCCCAGCTGAAGGCACATGGAAGGTGCTCACTAAGTATTTGTTGACTTGAAAATAAAACAGATCTACACAAACACAGCTGTAATTCTTTCCTATTCTGCTTGTATTTATGCTTCCGTTACTCTTGACTTAACTTTTTTTTTTTTTTTTTGCGGTACGCGGGCCTCTCACTGTTGTGGCCTCTCCCCTTGCGGAGCACAGGCTCCGGATGCACAGGCTCAGCGGCCATGGTTCACGGGCCCAGCCGCTCTGCGGCATGTGGGATCTTCCCGGACCGGGGCACAAACCCGTGTCCCCTGCATCGACAGGTGGACTCTCAACCACTGGGCCACCAGGGAAGCCCTTGACTTAACTTTTATAGTCATTTTCTCAACTGAGTTGATCTTTTCTTTTTTTGTCCTTAAGTTAGATTGCTTGTTCCCAGAGGGGAAAACTTGACGTTTTTCTCCCAAAATCTTATAACAGCAGCTATCTTCTGTTGAGTATTAGCTTTAAGAGTCTTCCCTCTTAACGAAGTCAGCCCTATCACAAACTGCCTAAGAATATTCTCTCCTTTTAGTTTTTCACAGAAATAGCACATAATTAGTTACAATTCCAGCATACCTGGAGGAGATAGAACAATAACATTATGAGCTATTTCATTACCTCTGAGCACATACTCTGGAGGGGAGGTAATGATCACCTCCACAAAGCACCTCCTCATTTACATTTGATTTTGGAGTGTATTTTTCTTTATATTTCAGTGTGCTCATAAGTCTGATATTCTCTGGAATGTCAATCTGTAGTTCTTGCTGCATTCACAAAATAGGCTGTGTTCCAGTCAGGTAGGTAATAGAGCATAATTGGACAAAGTAAGCTCTGTTTTTCTTTATGTAGAAAATGCCCCAGGAGTTAAGTTAGTGACAGATCTTGGGCCTGTTGGCTGTGTGGTGTGCCAAGAGTGTGCTTCTCGGTGCTTCCTGGAGAGCGCTTCTCTCCATCTCCCCGTTCTTCTTTTCTGTGTAGCCCTCTCCCCACTGTGCACTCTACTTCTGTCGTCTCCCTTTGCACTGCCCCATAGTGCAAAGAGGTTCTCCTACCCTAAGACTCTCTTCTTTCTCCTTTTGCCTGAATATTTAAAGTCTCTAGTAGAACTAGGCTGTGATTTTGTTAGCAGGTGCAGTCCCACCTGAAAATTCCTGAGGCCCATGATTTGAGGGGCTTGACAAACTCCAGGTCATCTGGGGTAATGGGATGGGGATGGCCTGCAAGCCAGACTACTCAAGGAAGAAAATTAGAAGGATCAGGGGTATTTAGGCCAAAGAAGACAAGTCTGCAGGATATTAGTCGTCGTTTAAAGGGTGGCTTTGTGAAAGAGGAGTTAGACTTCTCAGGATTGTTTCTTGAAGCTGAGATGGGCTTAACTGGTGGACCTACATGAGTGGCCACTCTTGGGTCCCGGAAGGAGCTCTCTGCAGGTAGACCTGCACAGCTATTATAAAAAGCTAGTTGACTCTTAACTCCCCTTCAACTATGAGAGTCTGTTATTGGCTCGGCAGTCTACTTTGTGAGTTCCCTGTGTTTAAAATGCTAACAATTCCCCCCATCCAGGCTGAGGCCTTGTTTAAGATAAAGGGCCTCATTTCTTAGGCTAAGAGACACTTGCCCAAGAAGCCCTCTTTTTCCCTATGGCATGTTTACCTGACTGTGGAGGACTCAACTTTGTCAGTACGTAGTCTTACTGGAAGCTAAATGTGAACCCCTGAAACACAGAGGAGACATGGCACACAGGAGGCCACCATCCGAGAGTGAGAGGGTGCTGCCAGGCAATATAGGTTGAGGGGAGGCTAGTGGTCAGGACGGGTTTGTGGAAGAGGTAGGGTCAGAGGTGGCTAGCGAAGGAGGAGGCTTGCCCAGGCTGGAATAACAGGGTGCAGGAAAGGCAACAAGGCAGAAGAAATGACTGCTTCTGGGTGTGAGGCCGGGGACTAGCGTGGCTCAAGTGGAGGGCACATGTTGTGGAAGGGAAGGAAGGTACAGGGTCTTGAGTGGCGTGTCAGAAGTGCAGAACAAACCAGGTTTTTCCTTGGGGTAAGTCTCATTTCTTTTTCTGGCTTACCAGGGTCACTGAGCACCTGAAATAATAGCTTACTGGGAGATAGTTTCTATAAGAAAAAGCTGCTTGAGGAGGTAAATAGGCATTTGAATGAATGCTTAGAAAACATATCAAACTGGACAAACTTTGTTATTTTATAAAGCGGTGATAACGGAGAAATCACATTTCTTTTTTTTTTTTATAACATCTTTATTGGGGTATAATTGCTTTACAATGGTGTGTTAGTTTCTGCTTTATAACAGAGTGAATCAGTTATACATATACATATGTTCCCATATCTCTTCCCTCTTTGTCTCCCTCCCTCATAAATCACATTTCTTAATCTCTCCCCTAAGGCCATCAAAATACACTGAGTAAAACAAAAACAAGTATATCTTTTATTTATTTATTTTAAAATTTTATTTGTTTATTTTTGGCTGCGTTGGGTCTTCGTTGCTGCACGCAGGCTTTCTCTAGTTGAGGTGAGCGGGGGGGCTACTCTTCGTTGCGGTGCGCGGGCTTCTCATTGCGGTGGCTTCTTGTTGCGGAGCACGGGCTCTAGGCGTGCGGGCTTCAGTAGTTGTGGCTTGCGGCCTGTAGAGTGGCGGCTCAGTAGTTGTGGCGCACGGGCTTAGTTGCTCCGCGGCATGTGGGATCTTCCCGGACCAGGACTCAAACCTGTGTCCCCTGCATTGGCAGGCAGATTCTTTTTTATTTTTTATTTTTTTGCGGTATGCGGGCCTCTCACTGCTGTGGCCTCTCCTGTTGCAGAGCACAGGCTCCGGACGCGCAGGCTCAGCGGCCATGGCTCACGGGCCCAGCCGCTCCGCGGCATGTGGGATCTTCCCGGACCGGGGCACGAACCTGTGTCCCCTGCATCGGCAGGTGGACCCTCAACCACTGCGCCACCAGGGAAGCCCTGGCAGGCAGATTCTTAACCACTGCACCATCAGGGAAGTCCCCGCCTTTACTTTCTTACCGACAAACATACACCTCACTCTGCACCAGTACACCTCAGCTAGCTGAAGGGCAAAGGCATGAACAATCCATTAGAATTGGTGTTGGGGAATGTGTGTAAATACGGGCACAGGAGTACACAATTAGTAGAAGGGCAAGTTGATACAGTCATTTTTCAGAAGGCAGTATAGCAATAGTTACTAAAGTAAAATGTGTAAACCCTTTGATGTGGAAAGCTCAATTCTAGGAATATGTCCTCCACAGGTGTTCACAAAAGTATGCAGAGGTAAACATGGAAGGCTGTTCACAGGAGCACCATACATAAGTGAAAAACAAACTGGGAACTAATTAAAAAATGGTAGACCATTCATCCCAGAACAGTACACAGATATTGCATAGGATATGTCTAGGAGTTGCTTAAATATTTCGGAGCCTCTCTGTTAATCGAAGAAAGGAATGCTGAAAGCATTTTTCTTTTACTACATTTTTTGTCATTTGTCACTTAGTTGGCTGAAGTTTGTCCTCTAGTTGCTTATTCAAGAAGGGCTCATGGGAATTTGGGAATTGGATTCCCAAAGTTCTGGTGAAAATATCTGTGGTTTCATATGTGAACAGTAATGAGCTGAGTATAGCATCTTGTGTCACCCTTTCTTTTTCTATGGCCATTTTTACCAGTGCTTTCTTTCACTTGCTGTGTTGTACCTTTTTGCCAAATGGTCCACTACCACTTGGCTTATTCCCCATTTTCAACCAGGAAAGCATTAGTTCCACTTTTTTGCTTGACTCATTTCCATGTATCTTCCATGAGCATCCCCTGCTTGTTTCTCCTCATCTGAGTTTCTGAAGATAATCTCAGATTTTCTTGCAGAGGATTCTGGCTTCTTCCCTGAGTGGCCCCCCCCCCCTTATAGTGACAAGTTGCAGTGAGTTTCTGGCATTTACAAGCTGACCACACCAATTCTGTGTCTCCCTCCAGGTTACCAACATCAAGAAGACACTCAAAGCTACCGCGTCCTCCTCAGCTCAGGAGATGGAGCAACAGTTGGCTGAACGAGAGTGTCCCCCCCATGCTGAGCAGAGGCAGCCCACTAAGAAGATGTCCAAAGTGAAAGGTCTGGTCTCCAGCCGCCACTAGGGCCGGCTGGGGCAGCTGGCACTCACCAGGCCTGGGTCAGGTGGGGAGGGGACACCAAGGGCCTATTTCCTCCCCTCTCTACCTTCCATGAGTTCCAGACCTGCCCATCCCCTCACCAGCGCCTCCCCCCACATTGGTACTGTTCCAGAAGAACCGTTAACTCCCTTCCCTCTCCCACTCCCTCTTCCCCAGTTGCTCCCTTCAGACTCAGGGGCTCCACGGATGCCATCCCAACAGGGCCAGACACTGCCCAGCTTCCCTCCAGGAGGTTCTTGTCTCTGTCTAAGGGCTTGTATCCCTCCCAGTTTTTCTTTTGCTTTGTGTCATTTTGTCAGGCTGGTCATAAGCTGGAAGCAGCTTTAACTGGCCCACAGGGATGACTGCGAAGGAGGCCCCTCTCTGAGTGATGGGAGGCACTCCTTCTCCAGCCCCATGTGCCACAGTACCCACAATGGTGCAGGCGCTCTAGCCAGGTATCAGAATGCTTTGTTTTCCCTCTCCTGCCTTATCCCTTGTTGGCAGCTCAGATCAGGCCATGGAGGGATGTGATGCTGGGCTATGTTTACTAAACCTGCGGGTTTTCAGCCTCTTACGCCCAGCTCCAGTCTCTCATTAGTTGGGAGCACCGGGCTGATTAACCTCTGGAATCTGAGCACCTGTAGGGGTTGCTGCGGGTCTGCTGGGTGGCGGAAGTTTCTTCCGGCTTGGTGTTCTCTGCTGGCCTCGTTCCCTGCTGCCTCTGACTACTCAGACTGGTTTTTGGTGTGAAGGCCCCGGCTGCCCACTGGGGCTGTCTGCCAACACTTGTTCCCCGAGATGTAATTCTTCCGGCTGCATCCGTGGTGGGGATGGTGGTGTTGAGGCCCCTCTATCTGGTGAAGGGTCTGTTGCTGCTTCTGTTTCTTTCTTCCCACCCTCCCTGGCTGGTGACCCAGAGCCCTCTGATGATGGCATTCTCCTGGCAAGAGAAAAGGACTTTACTAGCCTTTCTGAACTTGAACAGTTTCAGGTTATATTTTAATTTTTTTTTTTTTTTTGTACAGGTTCTGATTCTAATACATTTCAACATGCTTTTTTCCCCCCTCGTGTCAATATTTGTTATAGACTAATCGCCGGGGAGCTTCACCTGGTTGGAGGGTGGGGTGTGTGTATGTGTGCGTGTGGTGGTGTTTTTTTTTTTTTTTTTTTAAGGGGAGGTGGAGGTCCTGGACTGATATTAAAGAGAGAAAAAGCACATTTTAGAAAAAAAAATAAAAGTAGATTTAATGTATGTGACTGTGGAATGTGAGGTTGCATAGCTGGTAGATCTTGAGGGGCTAGAATTAGGGTGGTTCAGGGAAAATGAGATACTGTTTCAGTGCCATGGTTAAAAAATGGATTTCTCCTTTTTCCAAAATGTCCATCAGCTGCCTACGATTGATCAAATGTTAACAAAATACTCTTGTTTCCCTTTTTATGATTCGTGTCCCCATATAACATTATGACCAGCTGGAGGGTTTAATTCCCAAAGTATGTTTCATGAAACCCTTTGATAGATGCTCTATGGAAAAGGGGTTCTGTTGTTAAATAAATTCGGCACATCCTGCATCCCATATCCTCACTGGAAATTCATTGTTAAGGTCTCAAAGAAGGCCTGGGGGAGGAAGCCTGTTCCCAACACTGATTTCACCACCAAATCCTTTTTTGGTAATATTTAGTGGAACACATTTTGGGGAAATTTTTGGAAACATATTTCTCAAAAACACCTCCCAGCCTTATAGGTTTTTCCAGCTATTCTTTCTAGACACAAAACAGTCACCTTCACTCTTACAAGTGGTCTTCCATCCTTATCTTTCCCACTGGGGAGTAGACTGGGTAGGAAGCGTGACTCACTTGTATGAAATGTGTGACCACTAGTTGTTTGACTGCCCCAGGCCCTAGGAAGCTCTAGGTTCACCTTCTCCATGGGTCTGCTGTTCCTTAAAAAAGAGTAATGACAGTAATAAGAACAACATTCATAAAGTGCTCTACAGAATGTCTTCATCTACAATAAGTCATTGAATCCCTTCCACCAAACAATCTCCTGAGGTTGGCAAGGGGTAAGTATTGTTACAGTCATCCTCACTTTACATGTGAGAAGTACCCTGGTGTTCAGTGGTAAAACGAGGACTCCTGGATCTCCTTACTTATATGCCCTGCCATCTTCTCTGTGTTGCATTCTGATTTAGAATTTGCTCCCCAGACTGACCCTTGGTACCCTTCTAGCTGCTTATTCCTCTGAGGGCTCATCTTGCTCTTAACTGACACCCAACACATCACAGCCTCTGCTTCCCAAACCCACCCAGCCCCTTTATATGGAAGCAGAGAGTGTGGCAGTGGGGCTCCAGGAATTGTGGGAACAGCTGGAATGTTCTTTGCTCTATCGGACTCTGGTAGGAGGCCTGGCCTCCGAGCTCTGCAGTTTCCCGTCTAGCATGCTGTGACAGCTGGGCCTGGGTCTGAAATGTGCATAGGTGTTTGACATAAAAATACAGTGTTCAGAAGAGGTGTCCTCAGCAACAGGGAAACATCTTAGGTCAGGAGGGAGACACTGCAGTATGAAACAATTTGCTTGGTAGCAGTGCTTATCTCCTGGTTCTGGCTACCTTCTTTAACTCTAAGCTGTCTGCTTCCTGAAGGCCTCTTTGGCCTTCTTTACTTTCTTTCCAGATGAGAGGCTTTATGGTTCTTCTTGGGTAACATTAGGGAGGTGGTCAAAGCCCCCAAGTACAGGCTGTTGTGTTCCAAATCCAAGATGACCACCACTGGTCAAGAATTTCCATCCCCAGACTTTAGAGTGATAGGAAAGGGTAGTTATCAAAGAAGCTAATATGACAAACAGCTTGTGATATTTTACGTGTTTGCTGTTTTCTCTATCTTTCATGTGCTGGGTTGCCTGAAACCAAACCACATTCCAGTTTTTATACTTAAAAGTCATTATTGTCATAGCTTGAGACTTCAAAACTTTCTGTTGTTGTTTTTTGTCTTTTGCGGTATGCGGGCCTCTCACTGTTGTGGCCCCTCCTGCTGCGGAGCACAGGCCCCGGACGCGCAGGCTCAGCGGCCATGGCTCACGGGCCCAGCCGCTCCGCGGCATGTGGGATCTTCCCAGACCAGGGCACGAACCCATGTCCCCTGCATTGGCAGGTGGACTCTCAACCACTGTGCCACCAGGGAAGCCCACTTTTTGATTTTTAATGTAGCAATTGGTTGGTTTTTACTGGACCTGATAGAATGTCACAGTGCTCCTGTGTTTGAGTTTCAAGTATAGCATACCCTGCTCAGTACTTGATTGTACCTGTCTTCCTGGGGATCTGTATACAGCCATGAACATCTGACTGCTTTATTAATTCTTTTCTTGTAGTTATGCTTGAGATTTACAGATTGAAATATATATATATATATTTTTAAAATTTATTTATTTTTGGCTGCATTGGGTCTTTGTTGCTGCGCACGGGCGTTCTCTAATTGTGGCGAGCGGGGGCTACTCTTTGTTGCAATGTGCGGGCTTCTCATTGCAGTGGCTTCTCTTGTGGAGCACAGGCTCTAGTCACGCGGGCTTCAGTAGTTGTAGCACGTGGGCTCAGTAGTTGTGGCTCGTGGGCTCTAGAGCTCAGGCTCAGCAGCTGTGGCGGACGGGCTTAGCTGCTCCATGGCATGTGGAATCTTCCCGGACCAGGGCTCGAACCCATGTCCCCTGCATTGGCAGGCAGATTCTTAACCATTGCGCCACCAGGGAAGCCCTGAAATATATTTTTTATTATAAATTTCATTTTACATTTCCTTTACATTACCCTGAGGGCATTAAATGGATCTTTTAAACCTATGTCTGTTAAGCAGGTTGTTTATAATGACCTCAGGGCAATAAAAGTGGGTATAATGCGTGTTCATTATAAAAAAGGAATGTTGGGTCTGTTAGGGATGAGAAATGTTGTCCTTTGGTTAAGGATGAAACTCACAATGAAGTGATGGGGAGAGCAAAGATAGGAGGCAGCCCAGATCTTCTTGGGGTCGTTTGTGCCTGTCTTTACATTGCTTTTTCCTAGCAAAACCCTACTATGGATTCATCCAGTTAGTTACCTTTACAAACTTTCGAGTCGTAGGAAATGGGCTGGAACCATGGGGGTGAATCATATAACCTATGGAGAATGTTTAGAAGTAAAATAAGAAGGTCACAGCAGAACCCTAGCAAATACCTTCAGCTGCGTTCTAAAGGAAGTGATGCCCCTGAAGAAATTTTAGAACAGGCAGAGAAACACAGGAAGATCTAGAGGTTGGGGCCTCATATAACATCTCATACAACTGCTGGAGAAATCACACAGCCGCAGGGTGGTGCCACTACACTCGTCTCTAAACTGGCTCCTCAGAGCTGTTGGGCCATCCCATCATATGCCCCTTGTCAGCTCTCACTCATTCCCTATAGCTGTTAAGTTTCACTGTTCTTTTGTTTTTTTTAATTAATTTATTTAATTTTTGGCTGTGTTGAGTCTTCGTTGCTGCACGCGGGCTTTCTCTAGTTGTGGCGAGCAGGGGCTACTCTTAGTTGCAGTGCGCGGGTTTCTCATTGCGGTGGCTTCCCTTGTTGCGGAGCACGGGCTCTAGGCACGCGGGCTCAGTAGTTGTGGCACGTGGGCTCAGCAGGTGTGGCTTGCGGGCTCTAGAGCACAGGCTCAGTAGTTGTGGCTCACGGGCTTAGTTTCTCCACGGCATGTGGGATCTTCCCAGACCCGTGTCCCCTGCATTAGCAGGCGGATTCTTAACCATTGCGCCACCAGGGAAGCCTTCCCTGTTTTTTTAAAACCAATTACTCCATACCTCTCACTCTAAGCAGATGACTGTATTCCTACTTCAGAGTGAAAATCACACTAGGTGGGGAAACCATCAGTTTCTTGTCTTCCACCTACAGAATCATCTACATCCACCCTTTACACTTTTGTTCTTATCACAGTGGAAAAGGCAACCCTCCTTCCATGGGTGTGTCATTTGTCCACCTGTGTGGTATTGATCTGCCTCACCTCTTCTCCCAAGGGTTTTCACTCGCGTCTTTGGCCTCTCCTTCTCTAGTGGCTGTATGTGATGGAGAACTTTACACGTTAAGGAGACCCTCCCTGAGCCTGATGTCCCTTTGCAGCCACCACTTTTTTTCTTCTTATCAAACAAGCTTCTTGAGAGTTGTCTACCCTTTCTGTCTCTACCTCCTCCCTCATCCACACCTGAATCTTTTGCCACGTGACTCCTACTGCCAGCCATCTGCTGATGGTTTTCTTGTCAAGGAGACCATAGATCTCCAACTTGCTAACCTTTTTGGTCTTTGTTTGGCTTGATCTTTACGTTACAATTGGCAATGTTGAGTCCACTTCTTTATGTGTTCTTCTCTTAGTTTTCACGGCCCCAATAATCTCTCTAGGTTTTCCTTGTGTTTTTCTGCCTATTCTAAAATTTCTTCAGGGGCATCTCTTCCTTTAGAGTCCTGTGGAGATGTCTGCTGGAGTTTCATTGTGACTTTCTTATTTTACTTCTTTGTAAACATCTCATGGTGTTCCACTTCCATTTATAACACCCAAATCTCTATCTCTGGCTCATTCTGCCAACACGTATGGTCAACAGACAACTGGGCATTTCTACTTGCTGTCTCCCAGGTTTGCTTACATAGTCAGCAAATGGTGCCCACAGTTCACCAAGTGTATTATTTTATAGGGCTTCCATAACAAAACACCACAGACCAGGGGGCTTAAACAACAGAAGCTTATTCCCTCACAGTTCTGGAGGCTGGGAAGTCCAGGATCAAGGTGTTGGCAGGTTTGGTGTCTCCTGAGGCCTCTTTCCTTGGTTGCAGATGCCACCTTCTCACTGTGTCCTCACATGGTCTTTTCTCTGAGCATGTGCATCCCTGGTGTGTTTTCCTCCTCTTATAAGGACATCAGTCATATTGGATTAGGGCCCCACCTTTATGACTTCATTTAACCTTAATTACTTCTTTAAAGGCCTAGCCCCAGATACAGTCACATTGGGGTTAGAGCTTCAACATATATGAGTTTGGGGAGAAGATAATTCAGTCCATAAAACAGTTACCTGAGCCAGAACTTGGGGTTCATCCTTAACTCCTCCCTACCCCATGTCTGATTCACCACATCCTGACAATTCTATTTTTATATTTTTTGAACCCATCATTTTTCCATATTTCTGCCACTTCACGTCTTTGAAAATTCATTCATTCATTCAGTATACTCTTTGGATACTCATTGTATACTAGGAAGGCAGCCAAAGAAAGCTAAAAAATATAAGATTAAGGAAATTATATGGAAGGAAATGATAAAGATAAATGCAGAAACAAATTAACTGGCAAGATCAAAAGTTAGTCTAAGGGGTTTTTTTAAATAATGAAAAAGATATATACCTGGAAAATCTAATTAATAAAAGACAGTAAATGATTAAAGGGAACAGTTAGGATTTTAAAACTGTAAGATGTTACCCACTATCAATCTATCTGAAATTCAATGATAAAAAGAATTTTCTGGAAAATTGAGTGACTGTAATTCACTCAAGAAATAAAATACTGGAACTGGCTAAAAATC